CATAAAGTGCAGATTCATAAAAAGCTAATCTATGGTAAAATCAAAGTTAAGGTATGTAGTTTATAATAAAGCTTATAGCCGAAGCCTTCCTGTTTTCTCTATAATATATATATAATCCTGTCCAAATAGTATGCCTGTTCTATGTTTACTTATTTTGTCTTTTAATTAGCATCACTATACCATTTATTTTAATTTCATTTTAAGTTTCCAAATCACAGAAAATATTATATTTTAAAATTTAGATTATAGTAAACCTTATATCTAATTAGTACTGTACAATGTAAAATTGATTTGACATAAAAAAACGAAGTGTATCAAAGTTGATACAATACACATCAATCAGAATTAACAAAATTAGGAAGGAAATAAAAAAATTAGTATAAATCTCATTCTTACTCGTCAAAACCCCCCTAATGCCAAACTCGTCTGGTAATTCAAAGAACAATACTTCAATCAATCATTACTTCCTGAAGAGAATGCATCTTACTCATTTTATCAGTTATTATTTCATAACTTTTTTTGTCAGTATTAAATGAATTTGTTATTGTTGTGTACATGTACTACACACTATCAATTATTTAGATAATTAACTTTTACTATGTAGTATCATAGTTTCAAACAACGAAATAATTATCATAGGTGGTAATATTTGATAATAATGAGGATTTGAAATCTACAGGATATACATGTAGCTATGGGGAAAACAAATCTTACTGATCATTCAAAAATGAAATAATATATAGTAACTGCAATCCAAACAAAATTAACATGTGAATACAATAAATCAATAGTAAAGATAAACAGGGAAATGAGGGACCTTGGGAATTAAAGGGAGATAATACCTAACACAACAGTCACATAAAAGGAAAGGTTTTCAGTGGGAACTTACTGAAGCCTCGCTCTAAGTCTCGAGAGCGACAACATCGTAGACAACAAAATTGGAGGAGGAGGTAGAGGTGGCTGATGAGGATGAAGGGGGCAGGAAGGGATGGGCGTTCACAGTATTCACTGATGGTTTGGAACCTCAATGACTTCCAAATACTATCAGTCTCCAACTGGGTTAACTCAAACGTATAACTGTAAAAAAATGTTAGTGAGGGTGCAACGTTAGGCTGGTGGGTGAGGTTAGCTAGGATACACAGCTGGTCCTGGTATAAACAATCAAACAACATATCATACACAGCTGATCAAGCAAAAATTAACAATTTATATATTCAAGCAGAATTGATCTGATGAATGAGTCCTAAAATATTCATAGTATAGTGTTTGAAAATTCAAATCACAGTGGTAGTTTCTCAATAAAAAATACTAAGGGAATTTTAATAAATTAGACTTTGATGTTTAAAGTTTCACATGTAGCATCATAATAGTCTGTATTTCATAGAAAAATTAAAGTCAATGAGAAATGCAAACTTAATGCTCTATTTGTTATTTAATGACTCTCAAACAAATCTTAATTCAAATTTAACATTAACAACCCTACCAATACCAAATGTAAAAACATATCTAGTTCACTTACTGCTGAAGCAAACAATTTAAAATGAAAAAAATCAAAGAAAATACCCAACAAAATATTGAAGATTTAAGTTTCATTAGGTAAAGAACACTATAACATTAAGTTAACTTAAAATAGGACTCCATACAATAATTATATAATTTTCATAATTAGATTAGAGTAAGTATTAAATTCAAAAGCAACACATAAATAGTACTGGATTACAAATAACTGCCATCGGACAAACCTAATAAAACTCCTCAACAATTGGTTTGGAAACAATTAAAGCTACAATCAACTAGAACTGTAAGCCAAAGGCTAACTAATACCCCCACTCTTATATAAACCAGAACTGTAAGCCTAAGGCTAACTAATACCCCCGCTCCTATACAAACCAGAACTGTAAGCCAAAGGCTAACTAATACCCCCACTCCTATACAAACCAGAACTGTAAGCCAAAGGCTAACTAATTCCCCCGCTCCTATATAAACCAGAACTGTATGCTACAGGCTAACTAATACCCCCGCTCCTATGTAAACCAGAATTGTAAGCCAAAGGCTAACTAATACCCACACTCTTATATAAACCAGAACTGTAAGCCTAAGGCTAACTAATACCCCCGCTCCTATATAAACCAGAACTGTAAGCCAAAGGCTAACTAATACCCTCGCTCCTATATAAACAAGAACTGTAAGCCAAAGGCTTACAAATGCAAAGCAATATAGTCTCCCACCAGTAATGAGTTAATCAGTATTTTATTAAAAACAAAAAAATAAAATAATAAAAAAATAAACAAGTATTCCGCACAAAGGGGCATAACTCCATCAAAAAGGGTCGAAATCCCAAATTACAATGCCTGGAGTGCACAACAACATAAGATACCGAATCATTCACGCAAAGTTTCAATGAAATCCACTTGTTAGTTAAGGAGGAGTTGCGCTGACAAGTATTTTGCACAAAGGGGCATAGCTCCATCAAAAAGGGTCAAAATCCCAACTTAAAATGCCAGTGCACAACAACATAAGATACTGATCATTCATGAAAAGTTTCAATGAAATCCACCTGTTAGTTAAGGAGGAGTTTTCCGGACAAGTTACTGTGGACGACAGACAGACATCAAGACAGACAGGCAGACATCCAGACAGACAGGCAGACAGGGTGATTCCAGTATACCCCCCTAACTTCGTTGCAAGGGTATAATTAACTCATTCACCCCTGAAAACACATTTGATCTCCTTCAATTCAAAGGTTGGAATAGTTCATTATGAAATTTCAGGGGGGAATGAGTTAAGCTTGTTATCTGGATGATGATTTATTCCATAACCTGTACATATAGTTAATGCTAAAAATTCTATACTACTGATGGCAACACATAGACCCAACATATAGTAAATAACAAGTTTACTAATAGTTGTGTAGTTAATGGTAATAACCCTATGCCATTGTATTTTAATTAATCATCTTTTTCATGTGGATATATCACCATAGATTCCTATTGTTTTAAGTAAAACATTGCAATCAATGCAATTCTGTCATGTATAAACTTTAGGAATGTGTATTGCCATTTGTTTTGTAATGTACATGATGTCAACAACATCCGACTGTATTCCATCTCCATTAATATAGTTATGTGAAGGTTAAAACACATGCCTAAAGTTCTACAAGCCTAATGTACCTGAGGACTACAACCATTACCATGTCTATAATTATTGATACAGAGGACAAACAAATCTCATTGAATACAACACATATACTAATGTCACATGTACAATGATTCTATAAAGTGTTAGAGTAATACTTCTTAATTATATATAATCATATATGAATACTGTACATGTGTAACCAGTGATAAGTGTTAGTCTAATATTTCTGAATTTTTTCTATTATAATTATGATATATTTTACAGTCTGTATTCAGTCTGGTGGTAATATATCCCCCATAATCTTCCAGTAGCAATCTGCCGTTATAGCTGAACTTGACGTTTGACATTTGGATATACAAGGAAGCAAAATATACATGTACTGTGATGTGAGTCTTGTTTCCTTCCACCTCCATATTTGCTGGGCTAACAGAAATGTAAATACTGGTGCAATACTCATTTGTTAGCTTTGATTTGTTTTATTTCACCTTAAATATCTTTGACCTTAGGACCAACATGACCTTGACATTTAACCCAGTGACCCTGATCTTTCGTCAGTTGACATATTCTTCAATTCCGACCAACTTTGCTACATAATATCATAACAAATTGTTCATCAGTGAAACATACATAATTTGACCTTGACCTTGGACCTTTGGACCCCGTAACCTGGACTTTGGTCAGTGGAGACCGTGTTTAATTCTGAACAACTTTGCTTCATTAAAACATAAAAAAAATGTTCATCAGTAAAAGGATACAATATTTGACCTTGTAATTTACCCAGTGACCTTGACCTTAAGTCAGTTGACTTCTTGTTAAATTCCGACCAACTTTGCTTCATAATGTCATAACAAAATGTTCATCAGTGAAAAGATACAAAATTTCACCATGACCTTTAACCAAGTGACCTTGACCTTTGGTCAAATGACTCCTTGTTTAATTCCGACCAACAATTGCTCCAACGTGTCATTACAAAATTTCACCATGACCTTTAACCAAGTGACCTTGACCTTTGGTCAAATGACTCCTTGTTTAATTCCGACCAACAATTGCTCCAACGTGTCATAACAAAATGTTCACCAATGAAAAGATACTAAATTTGACCTTGACCTTTGACCCAGTGACCTTGACCTTAAGTCAGTTTACTCTTTGTTAACTTCCAACCAACTTTGATTCATAATGACATAACAAAATGTTCATTAGGGAAAATATACAAAATTTGACCTTCACCTTTGACCAAGTGACCTTGACCTTTGGTTATTTGACTCCTTGTTTAATTCCAAATAAATTTGATACATAATGACATAACAAAATGTTCATTGGGGAAAAGATACAAAATGTTATCTTTACCTTTTACCCAGTGACCTTGACCTTTGGTCAACTGACTCCTTGTTTAATTCAGACCAACATTGCTCTAAAGTGTCATTACAAAATGTTCACCAGTGAAAAGATACTTAATTTGACCTTGACCTTTGACCCAGTGACCTTGACCTTCAGTCAGCTGACTCTTTGTTAAATTCCAACCAACTTTGCTTCATAATGTCATAACAAAATGTTCATCAGGGAAAATATACAAAATTTGATCTTGACCTTTGACCCAGTGACCTTGACCTTTGGTCAGTTGATTCCTTGTTTGATTGTGACCAACTTTGCTTCATAATGTCAAAACAAAATGTTAAGCAGTTAAAAGATACAAAATCTGACCTTGACCTTTGACCCATGGACCTCAACCTTCGATCAGTTGGCTTCTTGTTGTATTGTGACCAACTTTGCTTCATAATGTAATAACAAAATGTTTACTAGTTAGGAGCACCTTGTGCTAAGCACCAACTCTGGCTGCGTATCACACCTAGCCGACCTAGCACCACACCTAGCTGAGCGTACCTGAACATGGCGATGAGGAGGTTTAGAAGCAGGATGTTGGAGAAGAGTACGTAGAGACCCATCAGCCAGGGGACAACATAGCTGCCGACCTCCGTGGGACAGCGGGGCAGGGTGTCGTTGCTGTACAGTACAGGGTCAAATGTACAGCCAGGCTCGGTCTCTGTGTAATAGATACATAGAACTCAAATACTTTTAAATACCACAGTCAAACAATTGTCTGAGCATATATAACTGTATAATAGCATGTTAGCTTATGAATTAGGTAACTTTTTATTTCCCCTTTTAATCTTTTTCAGTGACCACAAAAAGTTTATCCCTAAAACGATGAAACTTAAGTTTAACAGAATAGATATCTTACGTTCCAAATCTTCAAGGAAGAGTTCACCATACAGGTTCCAGTAAGCCATCTTGATTACCCCGATAACAAGGGCAAAGGTGAATTCCGACTTTGGGTAGAGGATGGAGTAGGCAGCAATGCCATAGGCCACCACAAACACCATTAGGATGATAACAAAGTACAGCAGGTCAAAGAACTACAAACATAAACACCAGTTTATTGTACAGTATATGTTATAATGTCCACTCTGATACTGTCACTAAGAGATGTAACATACCCAAACTGTCAGTATAATTTTATCATAGAAGAATGGCCCAAACTTGACCAGGTTTGTTTTCACATTTGTTATTCTTCAAACAATCTGCAGTATGAAGAACTTCATACCATAAATAAACAGTAAGACTGATAGTAAATGAAATGCTTTCAAAGTAAATTGAAACATTTTTACCCTTATCCATACGACTGAAATACGACTGAAATGTTAGCATTCATATTAACAAATTGTATTCTGGATCTTTTAAATGTCCAAACTCACAAAGTCTGCATCTTTAAAACTCTTGTTACATACCATTCTAGCTATCATGACAAGCTTAGGTCCAAGCTCTTTGTGCACAGAGAAGATATGGAGGATACGGAAGAAGAATGTGATAAGGTTCAGAGCGAGAATCACTCGCGCAGCTTCCAGCGTACTGTCATACGGTAGGAAGCGTAGTATCGTCCCACACACAAAGAAAAATATGGTAACTACATCCAGAACATTCCACTTGTCTGTGATGTAACTCTGCAGTTTTGTTTGAAATGTCTTCGATGCTGATGTCATAACCTTTTAAAAAAAGATAACAAAACAAATTCAATTTCTATTATATAAAGAAAGTATTGATTCTGCCTACTAAATGTACATTATTTGAGCTGTAATTCTAGTGTTATCTGATCATACTATGCAGAAGCAAGTTAATTTTACTGTAATTCAATCATCATGCAATTACATCAGGAGACACTTCTAGTTTTAATAGTTTTACAAAAATGTATGTACAATGATATAATAATACACATGGCTTCTGCTTAATTTGTAAATAGCATTGTTTCATTAATTTAGGAAGTGATACATATATGTAGTATACTGATTAAAGATGTGTAAATACATGCTTACAGTGATCACAACTAGCGAAGACTTCAAACTAAGAACAAACAGTATTTGTTTCTTAGTTTAACACAATTGTCTGTTTTACTGATTTATAAATGAAATGCTAAGAGTATTTGTTGCTTAGGATGTTTAACACGATTTTCTAATCTCAAAATTTAATTCAAACATCAACCTGTCATTAAGGTCAATATTCAGTATCAGCTAGATAAATCAGTGAATAAATAGTTATTTTACAGGTTAATAACTTGTGAATAACTTGTAATTTCACAGGTGAATAACAGGTAAATAACCCTTCAAGCACCTAATAAGTAGTGTGTGTTCAGGAAAAAGGGAAAAGCTATAGATTTCATGTATCAAATTAAAAACTTACAATAATTCCATTAGATTTATTTATTAGATGTAACTATGTGGTGTGAGACAAATTTGGACAATACAGAGACGACAGCGCTGTAACAAGAACTCATAACTAATTGTTTGTTATTATTGCTACAGTTGAGGCTCAAAAAACAAACATTAAAGTTGATTATTAAGTCTTGTGAATCAGTGAGTTACACACAATCAATCCAATACTTCACGAAAAGTGTATTACTATCATAGAACAAAGCTGCTTTTTAATTAAGATGTTTGTTTCAAAATATAACTGTACATATTTTGGTTACAAAACTAAGCAGCCCCCATTTTAAGACTTTAAATGGATTAAAGTATAACAAGATTTGAAAAGTCAAGAATTTGCCTCAATGTACAATATACTGGATCAATGGTGAGACTAGAAAATACTAATCTTTAAAACTAAAAATCAATTGTTAATGTTTGTTAAAGAATAGAATTGACATCAAATTATCTAATGAAACAGCAAAATCTGCAGTCATTCATTCTATCAAAACCAAAGACGAAGATATCAGATTTCGTTATTGGGTGATGTTCTACATTTATTAAATATGATCAGTCAGCAATTGCTTTTTTAGGTGAAATAAGAACAGGTCTAGATAGAAAGAAAGTGAAATAGTTATAATGTAAATCTTTGAAGGAAGGGGGAGGGGATGG